GGCCACCGCTGGCCTGGGGCTCACTGACAGGAGTGTGGCCACCGCTGGCCTGGGGCTCACTGACAGGAGTGTGGCCACCGCTGGCCTGGGGCTCACTGACAGGAGTGTGGCCACCTGGCCCTCTGTCCGCCATGATGAGGTCATGCCACAGAGCTGGGCTCATCATGATATTATTTAACTATTTGTCTCATCAAACTCTCCACACAGGAAATCAACGAGCTGCTAATAACAACCGTAACCGTACGGTAGGAACGAAGAACCTGGAGTTGCTCATGCAGCGTTTGAAAAATTAGAAAAATAAATTGGAAACTGTAGGGATGGAATATTTAATGAATGCATTAAACCTTTTCAGTCAACATAAACATTTTCTAATCTAACAATAAAAAAGGTGAAGCTGTTATTCATGAATAGTTTCTCTCTGTTCTCCATCTTACAGCGAGGCGCAGACACACTGCGAGCCGATACGGTGGACAGGTGAGCCGGCTTGTGATTGGTGAAATGTGTGCTCACATGCTCTTGTGTGGTTAAATAAAAACCTTTCAATCCTTGTGCAGATATTCTGGCACAGGAAGCTCAGGAGCCGCCTCCATGAGGAAGGTAGGAGAAGTTAGAGCTGCTTGTTTGTGTTTCATCGACTAAAACATTTTAATAGAATAGAATTCATAAAAACAGGTTTTCTTCAGTGCTTTTATTTTCTAATTTCCCTGAGCTTATAAAGCAGCACAGATTTAACTTGCATTAAAGATCTCCACTGCAACCAAATCAGCGGTTACATGAAGACCCATTGTGTATAAATAATAGCCATGCATGAAAACAGGACGTTTCTTATTCTGTGAGGATGAAATCAAAGCAGGTAAATAGATTTCCTTATTTAGATTATTGTGACTCAGGAGCTGTTTTAGTCACCAACTCAAACATTTTCTCCAAAACATTGTGACCTGGTTTGGTCCTGTTTATAAAATGAAAGCAAACAGCAGAATGTTCTTCTGCCTCAAATAAGAAAGAAAAAGATGAGATGGAGTCTTTTTTTGGTCAAGAAGTAAGACATAAAAATGCTGAAATAATACAGAGCAAAAATAGTTTTTGGTCTTTTAAGAGAGCTAATTTAATTTCTAAAATATGTTGGTTTTAAGATTTAGGACCCTGCTAATAGCTGCTCAACCAAAAATACAGATTGTTCAAAATATAAAAGCCACTGAGATAGAAACTCACCTCTGCTTTTTCCTGTCTATTAAACATTAACTTTGCTAACATTTTCTCCCCTTTTCCTTTTAGTCTTTCCATTACACCTCTTTAAGAACGAAAACCAAAAAGAGAAGTAAAGGTAAGTCCGTTTCTTTATTTAGTAATTAATAAACGTAGACAGCAGACTGCTGATCCGATGTTTCAGGCAGGACTCGTCCCTGACTGTTCGCTGCCATGAGTCACTATAGGCAGAAGGCTTGAAATAATATTAAAAGGACATCAGCTCTGACATCCGCAGCTTTTTTATATTTGGAAAGTCCTGATGTACTTTACTTGATGAAAATAGATGAAAGACAAACACAGACACCAGACACTGTGTGTTCCTGCTCCCGTTTTGTCCTCTATTTGACTCCCTGTAATTAATGATTTGCTTTTTTTGGGTAGTCTCCATTTGTCACTGTCTCAGGTGTAATGTGCTCTGAATATTTGAAGGGCTTCCATATGTGCTAAAAATCCACTTTCCCAGCTGACCCGGTTCTGCCTCCTGCCCTCCTCCAGGTTCCCTCACCAGCGCCAGTCGAAGGCGGATCTCCTGTAAGGACTTGGGCCACGGTGACTGCGAGGGCTGGCTGTGGAAGAAGAAAGACGCTAAAGGCTATTTCACCCAAAAATGGAGGAAGTACTGGTTTATCCTCAAAGAATCCTGCCTTTACTGGTACACCAACCAAAATGTAAGCCAGCAGCAAAGCAGCCATTTTGTTTCTTGTTGTGGCTCCTATCTGGCAGAGCGGCAAACCTTCATTAGGCTCAGCCATATTTTCCATTGCAGGAACTAATTAGCAATGAGCTCATTGTCCCTGAGTCAGTCTGCTGTTTCTGTTCCTGTAAACTGAGCTACAGTGAAGGCCCCTCCGGTCAGAGCATTGTAAAAACATCTTTAGATAAATCTATCTTTACTCTGTTATGATAATATCACACTGGAAGTTTCTGAAATATCTAAAATACAAAGAAAACTCTTAATCCCTTCAGTTCAATTCAATTATATAAAGCCAACTTTTTGTAAACCCTTTATTGATCACTGGAGAAATTCACTCTCTCCATTTAACCTAGAGGAGCAGTGGGCTGCCACTGTGCGGCGCCTGGGGAGCAGTGTGGGATTACGGGTCTTGCTCAGGGACCCAGAGTGGAGGCTGCGGGAGTTGAACTCAGAACCTCTGGGACCCAAGCTCTAACATTAGGCCGCCATTCCCCAGCTTACATAATCATCCCAACCAGCTTTACAGAGATAATCCCGACAGATTGGCTGGAAACCAGCTACTGAACTGCAGATATTTACCTGTAATCTGCTCCTGTCTGTCCAACAATCCCTCACACCGAGCATGCATGCAGCGACAGTGGAGAGGAAAAACTGAAGAAAATAAAACCTTTGGGCATGCCGGTGGTGCAGTGGTTATCAAGCACGACACATGTACGGAGGCCTTAGTCCTGGACGTGGCGACCCGGGTTAGAATCTGACCTGTGGTCCTTTGTCTCTCCCTCTCTCTCATCACCCCTTTCCTGTCAGCTTACTGTCCTAAAAACGAGCCACTAGAGCCGCAAAAACAAACAAACAAAAAAACAAACAAACAAACAAACAGAAATATATATATATAACTTAACCAAGGTACTAAAATGAGATGGATGGTTGATGACAGAGATTAAACCTTTTATAACTGCACATTTCTCTGTGCTTAATGCAAAGTTTAATTTGACAAAGTAACAAATAAAGACATAAAATCCAGCGGGAGCCTAGAGGAAGCCAGCTTAGGACAGGGAGCATCCTAAAGGTAGTGAACAGAACACTTGTGATCTGCAGAGATTATTTAAAGACGATGCTCAAAGCTCCGTCACTGTCTGATCCAACCTTGTTGAAGATGAAGCATCTTCTTGTGACCAAAAGGTTTAACATTTATTTAGAGCTTTCTATTCACTTCTTTATTTTTTATGACATTCCAATTGATCCCTTTATATTAGGAGGGAGCAATATTTCATGTATTAGACTATAATTAAACATATTTATTTCACGCTCAGTAGTTTTCTAATAACTTATTTCTTTTTTTCAACCATTCATGTTTTGAAAGAATACCACATTGCTTTTGTGTGTTTGTTTTTATGCAGCCATGAGCATAAGCATTTAAATGATGAAATTATTTCCTATTTCAAGTAAAACTTTGTTCCCCGTTCAGGAGACTCACACTCCATGTTTTTCTCTTAAGTGCGTCTCAGTAACTGTCCCTGCCAACATCATCAACAGATCTTTTTTCACACGCTTCACTACATCAATCGCATTCCCAATAAAATCAGTAAATCATCGGGCCTGACATTTTGTTCTCTGAGTCGATGATGTACCACCGCTCTCCATCTGTCTCCGCCTGCAGGATGAGAAGGCTGAGGGCTTCATCAGCCTCCCCGAGTTCAGAATAGACCGAGCCATAGAGTGCAGGCGGAAATTGTGAGTCTCCATCATATGTCGCCAGAATTACTAATCAAGCACGTTTGCTCTCAGCTACAAAACGTGATGCACAGAAAAAAAAGAAAGCTAATCAGTCTTTTTCTGTCTGGCTGACTGCAGCGCCTTCAAAGCCTGTCATCCAAAAATCAAGAGCTTCTTCTTCGCCACAGATTGTCTGGAGGAGATGAACAGGTGAGCTCCGTCTGGGTATCTGTGTGTCTTGCAGTGATGTGAACGGCGACGTCACGTGTCGTGAATACTTTAGCCAAGTAAAACAAGTTTACACAGGGCAGAGGCCCAGCGACGCCACGCTGAGCATGAATAAGGAACGATCCTGAGTCACGTGTCTGCAGAGAGTCATGATATTTGCTATCTGATGAGCTCTAATTATCCACACCTCTCCTCTGTGACACATGGAGATAATTGAAGGATAGTAATTAACCGGCTATATTTGACTTCTGTGCAGCGATTGTTGGTTCATGTGTGTCGGTGTGTTTGCAGCCACTTTTAAAGGCTATGAAAGTTGTTTGGATGACATCATTGCTTATTTTTATATTTACAGTAAATATAGATTCTGTCCTCTGAGGTGCATGAAGCTCGCTGAGTTGCAGTAGGAACCTTTTAGGGCAGGAATCTGCAGCCTTTCATATCCAAAGAGCTGCTTAATTAAAAGTTGCTTAGAGATGCAAAATATTAGTATATGACTTTTTAACAACATTATTTTATTTTTGAACTCTGCAATAGGAAATATTTTATCATCTAAAATAACATTTAGTTTGTATTTTTAGCTTTTAAAACAATAATGAATACATTTGTGATTTAAAGACAGAGATTGTCAGAGAAAGAGAACCAAGACAAAAATAATTCCAAAAACTTTCTATGTTCTTTACGTCACTCTTTTGTGAAAATGTAATTCAAACATTCTTTATTAAAACCACTAAAGCTACTAAGACAAGTATTTGTTTTTTTAGGGGTGTGAGGAAAAAATCATTTTGCTGATTTATTGTGAATATTGATCTTTCATTGGTTAATATCAGTTATAATCAGAAACATTTTTTCCTAAAACAATGAGCGACCCTCGCTCCCTCTGCACCGCTGCTCTGCTAGATGGCGCTGTCGAGCCCTTTAGCTGTGCGGCACGGCGCCATATTTGCAGGTGAGGCAGTCAGAGTGATAGACTGACTCAGACCCCAAACAACATGGATACCAAAATGACTAAATGATCAATATCTCCTGATGAAAAATTACAGGAATGTTTTTTTTATCTATACATCTCATTTTCATAGCTTGGAAAAATATTGCAATATATAGTGATATTGCAATATTGTGATCATATTGTATGGTGATACGTAAAGTATGGCAACACACATGCCAGTACTCACCCCTAGTTACTACAGTAGATCAGTCAGTTCTTTATAAAGAGCCCTTTTGGCTCTGGATGGGTTTAGAGTCCTTATAGTTGGTGTCAGGAGGCGTTCAGGAGCGTGACAGCTGTGGGGAAGAAGCTGTTGCAGTGCCTGGTGGTTCTAGTCCATGGGCTTCTGTAGCGCCCCCCAGAGGGCAGGAGTGGGAAGAGTGTGTTTGCAGGGTGAGCGGAGATGGGGTGAATTTCCGGTTCTTTTCAGACACCGCTTCCTGTAGATGTCATCGATGGCAGAGAGCGTTCCCAGGCGATGCGCTGGGCAGTTTTCACCGCCCTCTGCAACGCCTTCAGGAACGAGGCAGAGCACTTCCCACAGCAAACTGTTGGCGAGGATGCTCTCCATGGTGCAGCGGTGGAAAAGCATGAGGATCCCAGAGGACAGATCAGGATCCTGATGAGGAAGATGTGCTGGTGCGCCTTCTTGATGACTTTGGAGGAGCTGGTCATCCAGGTCTGGTCCTTGTGAACTCCCAGGAACTTAAAGCTGTCTTCACGCTCCACCGCCGTCCCCTTGATGTGGATGGGTGGATGTAGGTCAGCGTTCCTCCTGAAGTCCATAATGAGCTCCCTGGTATTTTTAGGTGTTCAGCTGCAGGTTGTTTGTGTCGCACCACTTAGCCAGGCGGTCCACCTCCTCCCTGTAGGCGGCCTCATCAGAGGATCGCTGTGGTGTCGTCTGGAAACTTGATGATGGCGTTGGAGCCATGGACATGTCTGCAGTCGTGGGTGAGGAGGGAGTAGAGGAAGGGACTCATCACGCAGCCTTGTGGCATTACGCTGTTCATGGGGATGGTGGATGAGAAATGGTTGTCCAGTCGGACATGTTGGGGCCGGCTGGTCAGGAAGTCGAGCATAAAGTTACACGAATGGACTGATGCCGAGGTCTGTGAGTTTATTAATGACGTTTGATGGGATGACAGTGTTACACCTTCAAGTCTTCCAGCATTCTGGCGTAAATCTTCTTACTGTCCAGGTGTGGAAGGACAGAGTGCGGCGCTATGGACCCTGCATCCTCTGTGCCCCTACGCTGCCTGGATGCTAATTGGTAGGGGTCCTGTGTGTGTGTGTGTTTATTGAGGGTTGGGGGGGGGGTGTTCTGAGGTGAGCTAGAACCATCCCCTTAGTGCTTTTGGTGATGATGGGGGTGGGGGCTGCTGGACGCTGGTCATTGGGTCTGGATGGGTTGGAGTTCTAGGGAATCAGACTAGAAGCAGGTCGGTACCACAGTGTGGGCCACAGACACGTCTGATATATCCAGGTTATGATAAAACAACTTTGTTTAATTTTTCAACCACCACAGTTAAACTATTTAAATTGTTTTATCACTTGTACCTTTATTTATTTCCTTGTTGATCTGTTGCAGATTGCTTTGTGTAAATAAGTAGCGAATAAAATGACTACAGTGGTACTTGGTAGAGAACCTTGGTTGTTATGAGCTGCTGTAAACCTGAACCTTAGCAACACAACCAGCTCCTAACACGGTTTCTAAGAATGATTCCAACCCGTCCTCATGAACAGAGGCTCTGTACTCCTGGACCTCTGGGGTTCTCATGTTTCTGCATCATTTTTTAGTTCATGTCAGGTGACTTTAAGGACTGCTTCTAAAAGAAAAGCCTTGACTCTAAGATTTGCTTGGGATCAGTCAGTTTGAAGGTCCAGAGTCGCCAAACTTCATCTTACTGGCAGTTTTTCTCCAGGAACTGAAGCCACGGTGCCCGCCATGTTCTACAGGTTATCAGTTCCAAAGGAGGCAAAGTAAACGCAGCCTGAGTTTCATTTAACATTAAACCTAAAAATAAAATACGATTCAATCAATAACTGCAGGGATGTTCATAGTTCTTCATATCATGTGGTCATGAGGTACGCTTTGCTGTTGTTCAAGATAGAGATCTGTTTTTACACAGTTTCCTTTATGATGGCATGATGCTGTTAACTGGGCCCCTGGAGGGGCTGAGCTGGTCCTACTGGGATCAAACTGGGATTCTGTGGATTCTGCACTAATAAAAACTATTTGAGATGAAAATATTCATTATAATTAGGATAAAAGTGATGAATTTGGGATTTGGTAACTTTACTTCTAGTTGGTCAAAGACGATGCTATAAAAATACTTAAAGATATAATGAAGGATTTTTGTGAATAATTGAAAAAAGCTGCCCTCTCCACTTCAAAAAGAAAGATGCACATGCAGACCTCTGTACCCGAACCCGAAGGGGGGGCACCTATTAAAGGTGTGACAGAGCGTGCATGAGCTCCTCCTCACGCTCTGTTTCATAGTTGCTGTTTGCTTCACTCATACAAGCTTAGTTTCCAGAAGAAGTTTTGCTATTTTTCCACTATGTCAGACTCACCAGCAGTCAGTGAAAATGGGGACGAGCACGAAGGACGGCCTTACGTCATCACCACATCACCAGAATGATTGACAGTTAGGAGGACCAATGATTGAGATGATCCAAGAACATCCTCCACTATAGCTTTCAGACTTTCTAGCTGTAAAGTGACAAAAAGAGAAATGTTCCAAGGGTATGAAGACTTTTGCATAAATCATTTGCATGGGTTCTGTTTTTAAATTTTAATTTTCTAAAATCACTGTTAGGGTTTTGGAAATATCTCTGGAGGATGAGGTCAGATCATGTAAAGTCGTCTGTAAATCCACCACCTCTGCTTTACCTGTAACAACCATTTCTCCTTCTTCTCTCCTTCCCTCTGCTCTCTATTTTCAGATATTATATTCTGTTTTTCATACTCTATCGTTTTCATTTTGTTTGTCCTTATTTAGGTTTTATTTCTCCTATTTTAGGTTTTATTTCTCCTATTTTAGGTTTTATTTATCCTATTTTTGGTTTTATTTGTCCAAATTTAGGTTTTATTTTCCTAATTTAGATTTTATTTGTCCTAATTTAGGTTTTATTTCTGATGATTTTTGTTTTATTTGTCCTATTTAGGTTTTATTTCTCCTATTTTTGGTTTTATTTTGTCCTATTTTAGGTTTTATTTCTCCTAATTTAGATTTTATTTGTCCTAATTTAGGTTTTATTTCTACTATTTTTGGTTTTATTTGTCCTAATTTAGGTTTTATTTGTCCTATTTTAGGTTTTATTTGTCCTATTTTAGGTTTTATTTGTCGTATTTAGGTTTTATTTCTCCTATTTTAGGTTTAATTTCTCCTATTTTAGGTTTTATTTGTCCTATTTTAGGTTTTATTTCTCCTAATTTAGATTTTATTTGTCCTTATTTAGGTTTTATTTCTACTATTTTTGGTTTTATTTGTCCTAATTTAGGTTTTATTTGTCCTATTTTAGGCTTTATTTGTCCTATTTTAGGTTTAATTTCTCCTATTTTAGGTTTAATTTCTCCTATTTTAGATTTTATTTGTCCTATTTTTGGTTTTATTTGTCGTATTTAGGTTTAATTTCTCCTATTTTAGGTTTTATTTGTCCTGTTTTAAGTTTTATTTGTCCTAACTCTTTGCGTGTTGCAGGTGGATGAACCGGCTGGGTCTCGCTGCCATTGGCTACACACCGGATGATAAAGTGCCGCGCCCTGATGAAGGTGAGCTGCGTTCCCCACCGCAGACATGATTCTCTCTCTCTCCTGTGGATTCACTTGTTTGTGTGGGTTTGCGTTTATCTTCATATCAGACTACTGGAGTGAGAGCGATCAGGACGAAGTTGACGGATCGATGACGCTCAAACAGGAGGGGCCCTCGTCCCTCTGTGATACTTACCACCGAACACCATCTGTAAGTAATGCAGCCTCTCCTTCAGGTCCAATCAGCATTCTCTCATTCTGAAGGAATTTTTTATTCTTAAAAGCTCCACAGTTTGCAGAGATATCTGTATTAATAAATCATCAGAGTGGGAGACTTATCTGCTTCTTTAAGCAGCCAACATCACAGACTTCCTTCACCCTTCTGCCAGAATATGTCCCCACTTTGACCTGTAGGTGGCAGTAGGCCACAGTGCTCATGAGGCTGAAGGCAGCCCTGCAGCATAGAAGAATAAAAACCACATGATCCAATAGATCTGCACCAGGCACGTTCAAAAACCTATAAAACAGATTCGTCTTTATGCCAAACCTCTGGGCTCTTGTTAATCTTTGGGGTTATTAATATATAACTCCAAACAGAATAAATCAAAGTTTCATGAGTCATTTGATCAGATATTTAAATACCCAATATGAAAAGATGAAAACCCTCTTTTCTCCTTTGTTTGACATTAAATCTTGCTTTAAACGTTTACTATGCCTTCCTCCATTAGATGATGTCGTGACCTTTTAAATGTCCTATTCGCTGCATCTGAGTTGAACTGAGAAACAATAGTGAACATGATGTAGAACAACACCTCCTGCCAGAGATGGCAAAAGTACTCACTTTCCGTACTTGAGTAAAAGTACAGATACTTGTGTTAAAAAATACTCTGGTAAAAGTGGAAGTACTGATTAAA